GGAAAGCGGCTTCAGACCCTGAAGGGAAGCTCTGGGGTTGGGAAAGAGGAGAGGGGAGCTTCCTGGTCCAAGAGTCGATGCAGAAGAGCACCAGTGAGAATTCGCCCTTTTGCAGTGTCATCAGTCTCTGGGCAGCAGGAGCCCAACTTCATCCCAATTGAGCAAATTGGTTTTGCCTGCAAATCAAGGGACTGGAGGCTCCATATTCAGTCATGGGGGGAAATTTGAGATGCCAGAGTTTCTGTCCTGTCCAGGCAAGCTGAGATGCCAGTTATGGGGAGGTGGGATGAGGGAGACGGCCTCGCTTGGGCAGAGAGAGGCCACTGTCAGCCAGCCTGCCTGGAAAGGTCAGGTGCGAGACACCCAGCAGCCCAGTGGCTAAACTTGGGGTCCTGTGCTGGACAGAAGGTGGACTGCTGTACCTCCTGCCCCTCCCAGCCCTTCCAGTCTGTGCTTCTGTTGGAAGCCATGCAATAGCCTGACAGTGCAGCCTGGATTAGTGTAAGGTGTGGACTCTGCCGGCCATGGCTGCAGGCCTTGTGAGTTTCAGCAGCGGATGGAGCCCTCAGGAGACCTCCAGGCCTGCCAGAAAGGTTTGCAGAAGAGACTGAGCGTGGCTCTGCTTAGAAGAGCTCTGGCCAGGAATAACAACTGGAAAGAGCAACTTGCCAGGACCAGGAGGCCTTCTTTGCCTGGTGAAAGGTGCTGAACAGAACCCATGGGGCAGGTACACTCTCCTGCACCCCCTCCCTCCCCAGCCAGTAGGATAACTGGCAGGAGACAGAAGGTCTTGTTTCTTTCTAGACCTCACAGAAGTTGAATTTTTGGAGAGAATTCCGCCCTACTCTTAGACCAGGAGAAAGTAGCAGAGGGCAATTTCTCAGGAGGCCCACTTCCGTTGCTAGGAAAGAGTCATTGTGTTTGGGAAAACCATCAGAAAACATGGGAAGCAGACCTCTGGCTGTGGTTCTCTGCACACAGGTGGGGGAGAAATTGCCCTGCTTGCAACCAAGGGACAGAATGGCCCTCCCTGGCCTGACTTTGGGGTCCCTGACTCAGGAATCTCCTGGTGGGCTGAGCAGTGCTGCCCAGATCCAGAGACTGTTCTTGGGAAGGAATGGTCAGAGAGCAAAAGGGACTGCCCAGGAGGGGAGGGGCTGGAAAGGAGATGCAAGGTGTAACCCCTGTGAAACATTGGTTTATCCCAAAGGGGAGGGGCCTGGAAAGAGTGGGGCAGGGAGTGGGAGGTCCGCATGAGGGAGAGGGGGCAGCTGAGGGGCCAGAACTGCAATTGCCACGAAGGCCCTCACGAAGGCAGGATCCCCACCCATCTGTGCCTGGGTGAACCATCATGGTCAGCTCATGAACATGCAATTGACCTGACCTTTGGAGCTGGGTTCTGGAAATCCCACGTGTGCAGCTTCACCTTCCGTGATTAGACCAGCTGAAGAGGACCTTCAGAGTCTTTTGTTTGTCTCCTGCATTCAGAAGGACACGTGAACTTGTGGCTCTACAGCCCGCTTAATTTTTTTGTCTTGGTGCCATCACCAGGGCCCTGGGGACACAGGCTGTCCCATCTTATCAGTGTACTTATCCTCACTTTTTTGTTCTTCAACTGATGATAGGAAGAGGTCTCATTTATATGCAAGGTTCTGCTCCTTAGGAAGCAAATGGCCCTGCAGAATTATCCCATATTACGTAATTGGCACACACGTGAGTGGGGCTCGCAGTGAAATTGCCGATACAAAAGCCCTGGCAGGGAGCTGTGCAGAAGGTGGGAGTTTGAATGTGCAGGACTGTATTTTTTTTAAAATGTCCTTTTGTTTTTATACCTTTATTCAATTTTCTTTCTTTTTATATCTAAGAAAAACAATACAATTAACAGAATGACAAGGACTGTCACTAGAATCACTCATCAAAGAGGACATCAAGAGTAGTGCTACCTCCACCAGGACCAGCAACTTGAGCGACCTAGTGTGAGATCATTGATTCATTCAGGTTGTTCCACCTCCCCTCCAGAGCTTCATTTGACTCTTGGGGTGGGTCACACCCCTTCCTTCTATTAAAACATATTCCAGAAAAGGTTTCAAGATATTTTAAAATTTACTTTCAGTTGTCCGATCTTTTCTCCATTCAATATAATAGGTTAACCTATCATTAGTAGCTATAATGCAGACTTCTTCATACCAGTCAACTCTATCATATTCACCTTTTTTTTCCGTTCCTTACCTTACTATTATTATTCTGACTGCTGTGAATATATTTATCATCAATTCTTTAGTATTTTGTTCCACAATTTTCTAAAGAATAACAATAATGCTAATCCAGGTTCAAAGTCAATATTTAAATTCAATATTTTACCAATTTCTAGAAAAACCCTTTCCCAAAACTCATTTATATATTTACACTTCCACCACATATGGAAATATGTACCCACTTCGTGGTTACATCTCCAACACATATTAGAATATTTATTATTCATGTAATTCGATTGAACCAGAGTTAAGTCACATTTCCAAACCAGTGTATAAAAATTCTCTTGAATTCTTATTAACAAATTTAAAACTTCTCTTATCCAACATATGATTTCATTCTTCAGCAAGAATATTTCTTTTTAAATCTATTTCTCAAGACTCTTTAATGTAATCTTAGTTTTATTCTCAAATCCTATACCTTCTCAACATTCTTGTACCTCATGTGCAACTTCTTGGTGCAGTGAATTCTATTGAAGGAGAAATGATGGAAAACACTACAGAATACTTAAAGAGGAATTGCACAATACAGGGAACATAAAGGTACTCAGCAAATGGGGAGAGGGGAGCAGAAACAACAGTGAAGGAGTCTCTTGATAAGGGAGCAGACTGGGAAACTCAGTATTTTGACTCTGAAACACCAATGGCCAAACATAAACTGAACCACTCCTCCCCGCCCCAGAAACCCATGAACAGAGCAGATCTGAGCACACTAAGAAGCCCAACAGGGAATTATGGTTTTTTGGTTGTGGGTCAAAAGGACACTTTCAGAGGCATTGTGCTAGCAGGAGTATCCTAAACTTAGTTCATCAAAATTTAATGGGAAGCCAGGAAACCTGGGGTGGACAGGCACAGGCGAAGTAGCTTAGAGCAATGGAATCCATCAGTGGGCTGACGGAAAGGGACACAATGCAATGGGTGGAAAGGAGATGCAGGGACTGAGAGGGCCAGAGTGCAATGATTTCACATATCAAGACAGGGCAACATCCAGCTGCTGAACAGATACACAGTCCCAGGCAACATGTGCCTGTGAGAAATTCAATGAGCAGCACTTGCACTGGAGGGAGTGGTGGCCCATCAGTCACACAAGGTCCCTGGAAGGAGCTGTAGGGCCACCAGTCGCTTACATGGGATACCTCTAGCTGGACGCGCAGGTCCCATGTTTAGCCTGCAGTCGACCGTCACCCTGAGATTCCACTCAGAAGTGCTGCTTTCCAGACACTTCTCCACTAACTTGTACTTATGATGCCCATTCCTATGCCCCAAGTGCAAGACCTTCCACTTATATCAACTTTGAAAGCCATGCTGTTGTCTCTGGTCCACTTCCATAGTCTGTCCAGATCCTTTTGGATGACTCATCAATTGTGGAAACAACCCCCATTGTAGTATTGCTGTGAATTTGTTCAGCAGACTGGTCACCCCCTCTTCTAGTTCATTGATGAAAAGATTGAAAAAGATTGGTCCCAGGAGAGAGCAGTGTGGGAATCCACCCATCAGCAACCGCCAGGCCAATGATTCCCCACTGAGTTGCCCTATGCTTTCCATCCATCAACCATGCCCTCATCCATCAGATGGTGTATCGGTCTATCCCAAAACTCCTCAATTTCTCAATGAGGATAACATGTGGCACTTTGTCAAAGCTTTGCAGAAATCCAGGTAAACCTCATCCCCGGCGTTCCCTCCAACTAGCCACCTTGAAACCTTGTGATAGAATTCCACAAGGTTCATGTGGCAGGACCTGGTTTTGTATTTTTTTTGAGTGGCTGCCATCTTCCCTCCCTACCTAGGGTTTGCAGAGTGTTTCTTACTATGAGCCTTGTCATTGTCCACCCAAAATGGAAGAAAGGCTAAAGAGCCTGTAATTCCCCATGTCCCCTCTACTACCCATTTTGAAGAATGGGAGCACTAACAAGCTCCAGTTCTCTCAAAATACACCTGTTCTCAATGAGGCCTCAAAAATGGAGGCCAGCAGGAAAGAGAGTACCCCCGCAACTCCCTTGGTTAACCTTGGTTGTACCCCGTCGGTGACTGACTCCTTTGTAATTCCTACTGCTCTGAGGAGCTCCTTCACTTCTAGGGGGTGAATCTAAACTGTTCCCCTAAATACCCAGCCTTATCTAACCCTCCCCC